ACGTTCTTTTCATTGTTCGGTCTTTTTTTTGAAGTCTAAACATATCTTGTTCCACTATTTTTATTTACCGTATATACTCGCTTATAGGTCGAACATATTTTGAACCAATTTGCTTTCTGTTATTTAGTGTGGAGTGTTCATTTATAAAAAAAATTCCGAGAAGCGCTCGAGCCGAGAGCAATTTTTGTGAGGTTTACTGTTTAGTTTGAGAAAATTACCTTTTCAAGTTTTTGTGGAAACAATTGTGTGATTTCTGTTTAAGAAATATCAGTTGTATATAGTTAAAAAAATGGACATGTAACTACCCTAACTAAGGGTGCAACCTATCACCTGATCAACCTCAGACACCAACTTCAAAACCCCCAAACTAAGCGTGCGACCTATTCACCGGTGAGACATATACGCGACTTAACGCGTTACTTGAATAGTCACCTGGCTAGTCAGCTTTGGGGTCAAGGAGGTCAACAAGCACCAGTGCCAGTGAGCCGGAATAACGTCATTTGCTTGATCTCAAAGGAAACTGGACAGACACGTCATCATGGCCCGGAGGCGTAAAAAAAAAATTACTTTTAGCTTGACTGAACTCCCCATATTTGTTGACTTTACTTAGTTCTTTTAAGGTAAAATACAAAACTATAAATAGTATAAATCTACATGTGCATTTAGCCCATTGCTCCCCCTCCCCATATATAAAACAAACAGCAAACAAACACATATGGCTATATGAACGTGAAAACTCACACTGTGGCTGTGGGGTGATGATCATTGAACCTCATCCTAGCCATTCCTTAACCCACAAAAAAAAAAAAAAAAAAATTTTCTGACCGTGGAGTGAATGAGTCTAATGTGCATCATTTAAAGGAGGCGTAAAAAAAAAAATTACTTTTAGCTTGAGTGAACTCCCCATATTTGTTGACTTTACTTAGTTCTTTTAAGGTAAAATACAAAACTATAAATAGTATAAATCTACATGTGCATTTAGCCCATTGCTCCCCCTCCTCATATATAAAACAAACAGCAAACAAACACATATGGCTATATGAACGTGAAAACTCACACTGTGGCTGTCGGGTGATGATAATTGAACCTCATCCTAGCCATTCCTTAACCCACAAAAAAAAAAAAAAAAAAATTTTCTGACCGTGGAGTGAATGAGTCTAATGTGCATCATTTAAATATTCGCTCGTCTTCAGCCTCACAACATTATTATTCGCTCCGCATGTAATCACAAGTCATTAGCAGATTAAGTTAATTACCTATTGATGAGTAGGGTACTATGGTGTAGGTGAGATGAGTCTGATGTACAGAAGTTAGATATTCAGTCTGCCTCACAACGTTATGTTCACCCCCCCCCCCCCATTTTTTTTTCTCTCCCAAAATCTCACACGTACAATTCATTCCATTTAAACACAATTCATTGGGAGATAAAGTCACTGACATATTTATTTGTCGGTACTTTGTTGCGGGTGAGATACTACCGTTGGACTTAGTTACAGCCTCTGACTGTCTAGACGGGGTTAAGCATGTTATTCGAAAAGTGTAATGAGGCGAGAGACTGCACCATTCGAAAAGGGAACAAAAAGGAAAAAGGGGGGGGGGGAGCTGATGCGATGTTTGATCATCGGTTTGTTGTTTTAACCAGCCAGAAAATGCCATTTCGTGCAGCACAGTAGTAATCAGAACTATGCCACAAATTCAGCACACAACTTCTTGCTCCAGCGTCGTCCATTAGTGAGATCAGTGTTTCTCAAACTGTATTTTTTTTTTTTTTTTTTTTTTTTTTTTTGTTTTATAGGAGCCTTAAAAGATTGTACCTTTTGTGTCTGTGGTTTAATTTTTGTACCTTTTTGGTAATACTTTTTCCCACTATTTTTTTTTTTTTTTTTTTTTTTTTTTTTTGTTGCTTTATAGGAGCCTTAAAAGATTGTACCATTTGTGTCTGTGGATTAATATTTGTACCTTTCTGGTAATACTGTTTCCCACTTGCTGTAAGTTAATATAGTTTTTATTCCTTCTGTATATATGCTTTTTTTATCATCTTAATCCATCCATCCCTGTGGCGTTACAGCCCATGTAGGATCTTTGGCCCACCTCACCACTTATTTCCACTCATAGCTAACTGATGCTTTTCTTTTCCATGCTTGGATTCCCGGCTGCCGTGGATCTTTTCCACGTCATCCATCCGTCTAAGACTAGGTCTGGCTTTGAGCCGTTTTCCTCTTGGGGTTATGGTGGTGCACCCTCTTCACTCCTCTGCCATTTGGTGCAAGTGTACAGCCTAGCATAGCCTGTCCTTTTTTTTTTATGTCTGCTACTAGCGCGGGATCTTCATATAGATAAACTATACAATTCCGGGTTGGTTCGTATTCTCAATCCATATTCATCTTTTGTTGGTCCATATAATTTTCGGATAACTTTTCTCTCCCGTGTGTTAAAAAGGCTTTCTGCTGATTGTGTTAGTCCAAGTTTCACTTGCATTTGTTACAACTGATCGGAATAAAGTTTGGTATATAGTTTTCTTTGTTTTTCTTGTAATGAGTATTTTCCTTTTTTACTTTATTCCCCGCTCCCGGCCAATATTTTGTCTGTTATTTCTGTCTGTAATTGTTTCTTTCATTTAATAAAAATCCTAGGTATTTGAATTGGCGGCATTCAGTGGTAATTGTTAGCATGACTAGCTTTGATATTGCTTGTCATTGAAGATTGGTTTTCAGCCCTTCGAGCCATGTTCGTCGTATAACGAGCCTACTCTTAAAACAGGTTATTTTTTTTTAAACTGTATAACAGTACGTAACAAAGAGCCTCGGGGAAAAAAAAATAGCGTTAGACGTCCGTAGTGTGTTGTCGTAGCAGTGGCGTAGCTAGGTGTTAGTGCCACCGGGGCGGGGCGAGATTTATGCCGCCTCCCTTCTACGAAAAACAACAACTCTGCACTTTCCCGAAAACTCCACTTCTCCATATAAAGACAAACAGTTTCACCCGGGATCGACCACGCCCTCCCCACTCACTTCCTACGCCTCTGGGGTCGTAGTTAAAACACTACATAAATAATAACAATATATACTCATTCTTCAGCCAATAAAAAAAAATTAATATATCGTATTTTTTAAATTTTAATTTTAAAAAAAAAAAAGGTTAAGGTCATGCGCTTCCGCCATAACCCCATAAGACAAGGACAAAGATACCCAAAAGAAGACGGCGCAACCATAGAGTCGCTCCTAAGCACCAGCTGAATCTCTTGCTAGATACTCTTCGGCACCGCAATGCTTACACTGGGATATAATTTTATGGGGTCGGGATATGAGTGGGTTACACACTTTTAAGATTTGTCCCCATTCAAAACTAGGGGTGGGGGGGGGGTTGGGGTTGGCTGATCAAGAGAGTATCTACGGCAGACAAGCAAGACTAACAAAGTCAAGTGGTCTGGGTCTCCCTCGACGACCTCTGACGGCCCTGTCCATAAAAATAACACTCAGCGGCTCTGATTGTTGCACACTGATCTATCTACCTAAGTGAATGTAAGTTAAAAGTCCCAGAATGGAGTCACATGTATGTACAACCAAGTTCGGGTGTAAAGATGTGAATTTTATTGTAATGGTAAAACAAAAAAAAATCGGAATGTCCTTCTTTATAAGTCCCCTATTTCCTTCCCCTTATTTATCACACCAATGTTATCTGCACTTGACGTCAAGATGAAGCGTGAACAAGATACGGGGTCATAGGTCGCTGACCTCGTGGCATGGCACTTACTCCAAAGTGAGAGGTTCTCAACCCAAAGGGGACTCGTGTAGCCCACCAGAAGGAAGCACCTGGCATAATTTTGAGATGTGTGTGTAGTTGTGAGGTGCTCGGTGAGCGTTTTGGTTTAGGTTGGAGCCTGCAGTATGTTTAATGGGCTATCAAAGGAATGGGACGAAACATATATACCAAGCACTATCTTGTTCTGACGGGGAGGTACATGCTGGTGTTTTTAATAGAAACATTTCAGATGGATGCAGCGCAGTCCGAAATAAATAAATCACATTTTTTTATGTAACGTTAAATATGATTTTCCAAATGTGGTCAGTTTTAAGATTTGTCTGGTTAGATTAACAGTATATAACAAATGACTGAAAACCAGTATGCAAGAGAAAAAGACGATACCAAAGCAAGTGGTATTTACAATTTTCAATTTCATTATACTGTTGAATTTATATACAATCAAATATTCAGAAGTAAAACTATATTAACTGAAAGAACAGCAAGTGAAAAAGAGTTTGATCCTAAGAAGATGTAAATATTAATACACACACACAAAGAGTAAAATCTTTTAACTCTCCTATAAGTGTATTAAGTCTCTTGTGTCTGGCAAATCTCTTCCAGGCTGTGAAAGCTGTCGGCTTAATGATAGGGAGGGATATTTTTTTTAGTACCCACCAGAAAAAGAAATCATATAACCTTTTCCCAATCAAGGGAGGGGTGGGTGAATTTAGAGCGCTACACATTTAATCGGTGACGTAAATATAAACAAAAGGGTATTGTTGCATGCCACAGCTCGTGGTGAAAAAACAAAACTAGGTCAACATGCAGGTAATAAATCAATATACAAACTTATTATTACATTAATATTCCCTTGGTGCTACTACCACTTCCACCAGCAACACCAACAATATAAAGCCTATAGTACCCACCTTTTTGTTAATTTAATTTGTCTAAACTATCGGACATAAGTGAAGACTTTCAACAATATTTTACATTGCCGTACCTTGAGCCTTGAGCGATTTTGAGCTCTCATGTCACCAGAAGCAGCTTAATATCAAGAAACATAACCACAGTATAATATTCAGCATTGATTCTAGGCGATTACCTTCCCTATATAAGTGTTAGGTGTTTTCACTGTTGATGGATTGATCATTGCACACAAGTTGGTTAATCGACTAATGATGGACAAGGATGGAAATAATACATTTAATGCCACAGTTACTCACCATCATCGCTCTCCAATGTCTGGCTGATGTCAAACACCTCATCTAGACGAGGGCGTGGTCTGTAGGCGGAGGCGGAGTTAGTGGACGAGTGCAGGTAGCCACTGTCAACTTCAGTGTCGGCTGTTGGAAGGAATTCAATTCTTTAACTACCGGGTACATGGTTGTTACTTCATTTAAATCAGACACCTGCGGATATTATAAGTCATCACCATCCCATCCCCCAAGTTAATAACGTGATAACTTACAAGCACTGGAGGAAGGGTTCTTGTAGAGTGAGCGCACTACCTTTGAGCTGCCGGAATGTTTGTCTGAGACCCTGTGGTGGTCATTGTCATACAGCCATTGGTTAGAGAGTATCTTGTAAGACCTGGAATTCAACCAAGGGAACGAGTTATATGATTAGAGAGTATCTAGTCAGACTTCGGGAGTCCAACTAGGAACAAGATAATATGATTAGAGAGTATCTTGTCAGACTTTGGGAGTCGACCAAGGAACAAGTTATATGATTAGAGAGTATCTTGTCAGACTTTGGGAGTTGACCAAGGAACACGTTATATAGTTAGAGATTATCTTGACCTGGAATTCAACCATCTAATAATTTATGTGGTGGTCACTGTCATTAGTGTCATTATACAACCATTGGTTAGCGAGTATATCTTGACCTGAAATTCAACCCTTTAAAAATGTATGTGATTAGAGACTATCTTGTAGGACCTTGAAGTCAACTAACGGAACAAGTTGTATTATAAAAGATTATATTCTAGGGCCTTGAAGGCAACTAACGGGACAAGTTGTATTATAAAAGATTATATTTTAGGGCCTTGAAGTCAACTAACGGAAAAAAGTTGTATTATAAAAGATTACATTCTATTGCCTTGAAGTCAACTAACGGAAAAAAGTTGTATTATAAAAGATTACATTCTATTGCCTTGAAGTCAACTAACGGAAAAAGTTGTATTATAAAAGATTAAATTCTATTGCCTTGAAGTCAACTAACGGAAAAAGTTGTATTATAAAAGATTATACTCTAGGGCCTGGAGGTAAAACCAAGGGAGCACCTTATTACACATATTTTTCATTGGTCACTATTTTTTTGTTTTTGCTTTGAATATCACGAGCATAACTTGACACCGACTGATTCGCCCTTTGAATAATCGCAATCTTGAAATATCGAATGAATGGGCATTATTCTATTTGAGCATTTATAAAATTGTGTAAGATTAACCTGACTCCCAAGTCCCAAGACGAAGCCGCGCATCAGAAATAAGGTGCTGAAAACGCACATAGATTTGGTAGACGAGCGTTTAGATGAGTCCAACGTTCCATCTACCATCTTCAGCGACAACAGGAGTAAATCTCAAGAGCAATTCTTACACCAGAATGACGCGCAAATTCAACACTGGCTCGTCATCACACGGATCCCGACTACAAACAGTGGTACTAACGATTACACTGGACGAATGAACGAGATTGAAACGCCACCGAAAGATTGCCAGCGTATCTGTCCTGTCTTAATAGTTCGTATGTGCTCATAAGCATTTTAAACCATACGAGAACACATTCATTTCTATTAGGGTAATCGAAAACCAGCAAGGTTTTCGTTTTGTCAGGCAGATGATTGAACCCTTTGGTTTTGACGTTAATCTATTTATAACGTGCTTAATCAATGTTACAAATCATGGGGTCTTAGTTGATTGACATACTTTTCTTTCAAGCAGACCTGACAGATGACATCCCCCGACTTGGGTTTCCTCGGCTGGCAGCATTTGGAGCAGGCGTTGAGGTGGCATTTATAGCACTTCCGCTTCCGGTGAAAGAAAAGTCCGAATCTCTCCAAGCAGATGATGCAGTTGGTGTCATTGAACTTGTGCTTGTCTTTCAGCAGTGCTATTCTGGCTTGTTCTTTGGCCAGCTCTTCTTGAGCTTCACTGGTCGATAGAAACAAAACAGTTTCAACATTAGTTTTACTACATCCAGGGCCGTCGCGGGACGTGTGGAGACACCCCACCCCCTCTTTGCCATTTTAAAGTTTTATGCCCCCACCCACTCATTTGCATTCAAAGTTGATAACTTAAATTTTTCCATTGAAAATTTGGGAACCTTAATTATCCTTGTTTTGAATAAAATATAAATCTTTGTTTGAAAATTAGGAAAAACAGTTTTACAATATGAAAACACAAAGCAATCAAACTTTTGTAACACAATAAATTAACCGAAATGAGATTATTGCTGGATCTGGGAGGAATTTGTTTTTCTCTTTTATTTGAGGGTGACGGGTGGAGTTGCAATGCCTTCTAAGACTACTTCTACATATTATCCCGTACTTTCCCATATAATTTCTGTACCACATGGTCACTTGACCTAATGGACAATCCCAAGATCGTTATTCGAATAAGATTAAAACTATTGTTTCTATTGAAAAGGACAAAGTCAAATGAATACATGTCATGTACTACAGGTTGTTTTTTTTTTAAATTGGGAGACAAAAAAAGAAAGAAAGAAAGGTAATGAAAAACTACCACACATCAAGTAATACAAGTGAAACCTGTTTTGGCCAAAAGCCATTGTTACCATGGCTGTGAAGTCTTACAATTTTTCAGAAGAAATACAATTCATCTGAACTAACCATTTTCATACATCAGAGATTGATACACATCAATTCAAAAAAATTATCTAGGTATCAAAGAAATTGTGGTGCATTGATGAGTTCAGTAGCGTGCAAAATAAGATTTCCGAAAACTGCGCTGGATTCGATTCTCAAAAATACCACTAGAGCGTTTGGTAATATTTTTTTTTTATTTTCCGTTGAAGGAAATGGACTCACTTTAAATTGGATGTTATACATCTGAGTCGCAAAAGGGGATTGGCCATTAGACCATTAGTCATTCATCTAGAGACAAATGTGTGCGGTTGCGTACCTGGGGGTTAGCACTAATTGAGATTCTTTTAAATTGTTTTACACTTGAATGCATGTTTTGTTAAGTAACTTTAGTAGATGGGACGTTCACGAACTGCCTCCACAATTGTTGGGCGGGTTATAACCAATGTTCCCTCTAAGGTTTGTTGGTTCGTGTGCAAAATCATAAAGTTGTGTGCAAATTTTTACAGCATCAATTTTTTGTGCGCAAAATTTTACAGCCTACAGACACAAACACACACTTAAGTGGAAATTAGCTGCGCGGTACTCAAAACTGCTGCGCGGCGTCTGTGAGATTACTGCGCGGCCGCGCAGCCTAAAGGGAACATTGGTTATAACTTATGTATATTCAAACATAAATTTATTATGCATGTTTTATAGAAAATAGAAACAACGAGGTATGTGGAAGCTTGAACTAGAAAGACGGGACGATAAAAGAATAACGTTTTAGTTGTTCTATATTGTACTACAAGCTCGACGACAACGACAACGACAACAACAGCAACAACAATCAACCTTTTTGACCAAACTTCCAGACTTACCTCACCTTCCTTTTCTCTGCCCGTTGAACCCTAAAGTCTTTCTGTAGAACGTCCAGGATCTGGTCCCGCTCCTCGGCTGTCAGGTGGGACAAGTTCAACTTTCTACCCATCTTCACGTAACGTCAGCAGAGAAATCAAATGTAGAGCTGATTCTTGGTGGGCAGAAAACCTTTCGACGCTTAGTAAAAATCCGTATACAAGGAAATTTTGTGACACTGTCACAATTCAGGTCATGTTGATATCAGTCTATTGCCAATGGCTGTACACGATGGACATTTTAAAGGTGTCACTGCTATTCCACAATTGGTCGAAAATGTTCTCTTTAATCCTTGTAACTGATAAAAATGATTCGATATTCTGTTTCTTACATCATGGGAATTAGGTCAATCTACAATAAAAAGGGAAATAATACCAAATTAAACGGTATGAGATTACAGATTTGACATATATTAAATTTTCAAAAATTCTCCAGGGAACGCAACATTTTCTTTTCTTGTGGGGAAAAGAAACACAACTATTGATTTAATGAGATGATGGACAAGGTTATATTTTAAAGAAAATGAATATACATAAGATATGATGATTTCAATTATCATGATACTCACAACGCTTGTGAGTACATTAATGATATCAATAATCAGAAGACTCACAAAACGTGTGAGTACATTAATGATGATATCAAGAATCCAAGACTCACAACATTTGTGTTGTGAGTACATTCATGAGCATGATGATTTTTTTTACATAAATTAATTAGTTTTTAAACGCAACCTACGAATGAAAATCAAATAAAAATTAAATTAATAAAGGATCCCCGGTTGGGGTTTTGAGGAATCCAGATATTTACTGACATAACACCGCGATTTTCACCGACTTTTAAAAAAAATGAAACTACTTACTTATTACGAGCGACTAAATGAAATATACAGCATGACATCAACAGTGCTACATACAATGTACAACGTATACATCTCTATATACACTACAAAATTGAAAGCACTACAAAAATGTTATAAAACAAAAGCACTACATGATGTTGTATGAATCCAAAGCAGCACAAACAATTTACTTGAAGCGAAACATTACGTGCACTTACTCCGAAACAAATTCCTTTACAAATACTATATCATTTACCTTTCTTAACATATAAAGACAATCCTGTGATTTATAATTATGAATTTTTAATCTATAGTACAGAAAGCTGGCCCCCGTGATGACGTAACGCCGAATGAGCACGAGACCGTGTAATTTCAGAATTACATTCACAGACACGGACTTAAGAGAAACAAATATGACAAGTCAGACATTAGTGCACATACATTATCCCATATAGGTTATCCACAAAAAAAAAAAAAAGGGTTTTAGTTTTAAATAAACCAATCAAATTCTACAAGCACTGTTTTGAAATTTAAACAAACAAATATTTTTTTATCAAATAAAATAGGCCCTTTCTATTAGGACCCCATTGTTGTACAAATGCCACTGTCGTATAGAAAGATGAGATGCTTTTATTGATCCAAATGATATGATTTTTTTTCTCATTACATTACACAGTTTTTTTCACGTTTTGAAAGTCTTTGAATTTTTTTTTTATTCCCTCCAAATATTGGTCCGTAGCAAGGCCCATATAGAGATTTATTTAGGCAGTGACAATATTATTTTTGATAAAACAAATTTAAAAAAATAAATAAAAAAATAAAATTATTTCCAAGAATTCTTTCATTAAGAAAATGTACATGTTTAAACATGTCAAGAGTATTTAACTTTGTTTTAGGTAAAGAATTGTGACCATACTTTAAACTTTTTTTTTTGTATAGTGCTAAACGTTTCTTAGACATGTTTGAATACAACATGTCTGCACTTATGTTATTTGCTTGATTGGAATAGCACACGTCGACGGAAATCACGCCTGCCAAGATCCACACTAACCTCTCCCCAGCCACCACGCCCCCGATCAACCAGCCCCCACGCCCCCGATCAACCACCCACCACGCCCCCTATCAACCAGCCACCACGCCCCCGATCAACCAGCCCCCGATCAACCAGCCCCCACGCCCCCGATCAACCAGCCACCACGCCCCCCCCCGATACCAGCTACATCGCCAACCTTGAACCTATTTCTACCCACCTCTAGCATCTTGACATCCGTACCATCCCCCCCCAACAACACGCCCCCCCCCGATTAACCAGCCACCACGCCCCCATCAACCAGCCCCCACGCCCCGATCAACCAGCCCCCACGCACGCAGTCAAATCGTCCTCAAACACCAAGTCCAAAAAATCAACTAGCCCCCAAACTACTTGGTCTAGAAACACTGTCACGAGGCCATGCACAAAGTATAGTAACTAAGGTTAGTGCAGTCCGACGGGGGCCAATATTTTGCAGTCCCCAACCACCTCGTTAAAAAAAAACCCTCTGCAGTTGATAAAAAAATGCCGCCCCTAAAATATTGCAAAAAAAAAGTGCCACCAAGGGCGGACCACCCCCCCCTCCACCCACCTTCCTTCGCCACTGAATGCACAAATGCTATCATCGAATGCTCATACCCGTAGCGTATACAGCTGTTTAACAATTAATGGTGATCACGTGGTGTTGTTCAGTTACGTTACCATCCGATACGTAACGTTGATATTTAAGCGCAAATTTGCATAATTTTATTTGGCACGGATTTAAAATGTATACGTTATTCATTACTTATTCATTCAAAAAGGAATTGTTTTGAAATACTAGCTGATTTCCAGGAAATCATGTCGTTATTCTGCGTATATAAAGCGTGCAGTTGCGTTTCATTTTTCTATAGAGTAGACCACTGACGTTTAAGGAAAGAGGGCGGGTATTGGTGGTAAACAACCCCTCCCCCCACCCACCCACACCCCCTTTGACATTTAATATCGCCATTTAATTGAAATTAACTTCATCTCTTTGGGACTAAACTAGACCAGCTAACGTTTTAATTTGACGTGCTTAACAGCTAATTCAGTGGTTCTCAACCTTTTTAGTGCCGCGACCCTTTTATACAGTTTCTTGTGTCGTGGCGACCCCCAGCCACACAATTATTTTCGTTGCTACTTCATAGCTGTAAGGATATGTGTTTTCAGATGGTCTTAGGCGACCCCTGGAAAAGGGTTCCGCGACCCCCAAAGGGGTCGCGACCCACAGGTTGAGAACCGCTGAGCTAATTTAACGATTGGAAAACATTTGGATATACGCATGTCTTCTGACTGTGATAAAACGATGTATATTATATATAATAGCTTGGGCAACGCAGCTACGTTACGAGTGTAATGTACGTTTGCATTTGGTGCGTACTATATGAAGCTCACGGAGGGGGAAGCAGCGAATGAGAGCGCAGCACAGTGCGCAAT